GTAGGGAGAGAATGTCCATCTTTTTCCCGTTATATCCATAGCTAACTGGTTAGAAACCGCTAGGTATGTATTGACACATGATTCCACTTTTACTCCCAGTGTGTCTTAAAAACTACAAACCTAAAAACGTGGTTTTAGATTACACCACGCTTTCAGGTTCCTTCTGGTTTTGTTGATTGTACACAACAACCCATTTACATAGATGAGTATCACAAATGAGAAACACAGCACATAGCTAACACTGGTGACTGGAATCTCAACTGGAGAATCTTTCTACTGTATTCATACAAGTCACTGGGTCTGCGTCACTTCCACACCGGAAGGAAGACACCCAGAGGTGGGCCATTCACACAGCTATGTCTCAGGAGAGCACGGCCTTCCATCATCGCTTCTCCCAGGGAAACTAGGAGTCTGCCTGTGCTCTCCAGGAGCAGCCCCTAGCTGTGTCTGGATCTCAACATTAAAGTAACAATGGTTTACCAACAGCACAGCACATTGTGAGTGATCAGGAAATGTTACCTTTCCATCACCTCGGAGTTCTGTTGGACATACTGGTCATCTCGTTAAGAAGAATTGGGGAGAATAAACGTACTGAGAGAAGTTGAAAGTAAGGCGTGGATGTAGGGAATTAGTAGGTGGGTTAGGGGGTTCCAAAACCTTCCTCACTAAACTAGCTCCTTCTCTGAAATAACTTGTGCTATTTTGAGTTTGACTGTAAAGACGGGGAGGAAAGAAGCATTTCGAACTTCCTAATCTATGTATGTCTTAGTCTTTTTTAATAGACCTGGAAAGAACACAGAGCAATTTCAGGTGAATGGCTATGTTTTGTAGCTGGTCTGGTATTCTGGCCAGACTTAGGCTGTATGCAGAGAACCAATCATGAATCCTGGCAGCACAATCTCATCAGGTGGGATGGAATTCCTTGAAGTAGTGATTTTTGTCTGTGGCCAGGCTGGTGGGATGCCTGAAGGCGGGGCCTCAGATAGGAGCTAGAAGCTGGAGGGGAATAAAGAGTTGGGGAAGAGGAGTTTTGGCAAAGCCAAGACAACGAGCTCTAATTGGTCACAGAGGAACAAGGTTATGCTCACTGCTAGAATCAGAACCATCAGAAAGGTTTAGTGCCAGGATGCTGGCTGAGGGTGCCTGTGTGTGCCCAGCTTTGGATAGCAGCTAAACCTTCAGGTCGAAATGCCCGAGTTAGCTCCCAAGTTTGCACTTACGTGTGGATGAACCGTGAGGGGTCTTTGCCTGAGGCTATGACCTCTGACCAGACACTAGAAGCATGTGAGACAGGAGACAAGGAGCACTACAAGTTTCTTGCCATTTTTCCCAATTAGAAAAGTAATGTACATTCACCTGTGTCTGCATGCCATATCCTGGAATATCGAAAGGTGCTTAAACTGTTATTACACTCAAGTTTCCTCTAGCTAGACTCACAGCTTTCCAATCTGAAAGTAACTGAAAAGTAAAAATGAACTTTTAACAGTAAAGAGCAGCTCTAAAGACTTGCAATAAATGAGGGGTTGTAAGACAAAGAGCTTGAGAGACTTGCTGTGGTTGGGTCGGTTACCACGTGTGCCCTGCTTGATTGACAAACAGGAAGGGCTGGCGTGTGTATAGAAGTTATTCAGGTGTATTTAAAGTGCTGGCACTTGGAAGGTAGCATCTGCCCACCTGAAAATTACTTTGAAACAGCACGGAATTCAATTATTGACAGTTTTGCTGTATTCACGATGCTGCTCATTTAACCCTCCTCAGATCGTGGTCCACTGTTAAAGAAGAGCATGGTGTCTGGTCATTGGCTGGGCTGGAAGGGCGCTGATCTGTGTTTGAGATGGTTTGAATTTGAGGAGGTAGCAGCAAGAGGTAGTTGACTTCACCCTCCAGGGTGGGTCTAGGGAATGAGGAAATAACCCCGAAACAAAAGGGGAAGAGATTAGTAGGGCAGTTTATTCGAGGATAGTGCCTAAAATCTGAATGTGTCCTATGCCTGGACTGAGCCGTTGGTTTTGTTTCCACGGGAGTCTCCTCCCCTCATCACCTCAGTGAAAGTAGACTAACTTTCCCCACAGTTTGTTTACATCAGTTCTTCTGCATAATAATCTTACAAACAAATTAACTTAGATATATACAAATTATTTCTTCTCATCCTCTGGCAGTTTAAACAGGTGCCATCAACAACTTGGGTTATGCTAACAATGAGTGAAGAGGGAGAGCCCATGGTTTGAATAAGCAGGGGTGATTTTTGTTTATGTACCAGTAGAACACTGGAACCCACTGGGCGAGTTTTGTTTTATTTTCCTCCCGTCCCGTCAACTAAATCCCACACTAACTTGAAATCATGGTTTGAAGTATGTAAAAGGACAACCCTTTCCATAGGTTTGCTAGCTCCCCCCACTCCAGGGCTCATGTGCTCGCCAGAGACAGAGAAAAATCACCTCTATGGAGGTAGCTATGCTGTAGTCCCTTCTCCTTCAGTCCTCTTTCAGGATTTGGGGCATGCATACAAACACGCCTTGTGTGTTTTTCAATCCTCCAGGTCCAGGACTTGAACCATTCAATCAGCCGTGTGGTATCCAGCCACCTTATTCACAACACCACCACTGTTCTTATCATAAAGGAAAGTTGCTTCATCAGCCATGAGGCTGTATATTCGGTTCTTTGTCACTTCTGAGAAGGACGGCTGGGTGGATATATGTGCAGAAGGACCTCTCTCTCTTTTTCTTTTTTGAAAAAAAAAAAAAGAGAATTATTTTTAATTTTATTTTTTAAATTTAATTTGACCAGCGAGAGAGAGTGAGAAAGCAAGCCACCAGGTCCAGGATTTGAACTGCAGTTGGCCATGTAGGAGTTCAGCACCTTAATCACCACACCCTCTGCCAGCTCCTCATTTTTCTTCTTTTTTGGCCAGAGGCAGGGAGGGAGAAAGCACTGCCCAATGGGACCTGATCATGCCACAGTCTCTTTTCTTCCACTTCTCCATCCTATCAAGATTTTGGGCATGCACACACATGCACCTGGTGTTTTTTTCAAGCCTCCATGGCTGGGATTTGAACCATGGTTGGCCATGCAGGATCCCCATGCGTGGGACTTAACAGCTGCAGGTCTAGTCCTGCAGAAGGACCTCTGAAGCACACTGTGGGTGGAGAGTCATGCTCCATGAGTGCCATAGCTAGGGACATGTTGATCCTGGGTGGTTGATTCTGAAGTGGCAGGGGAAAGGCATTTGTGTTCAAATAGCTAATGCAAGAAATCTGTTCCTCTTCTCTCCGCAGACAGTCTGGTGATCCAGGACATGCCTCAGCTACAGTGATGCAGAGGACCTTTCTGCTCCTGAATCTCCTCTGTGCCTCAGACTTTCTCCCCCCAGCTTGAGCCACATGTAAACTGGGATGCGGGAAAGCAGGCAGCAAAGCTAGTGGGTAGAGCTGGGCCCACCATGCTTCCCCTCCCCTGGTCTGGAGCTCAGCTGCAGTGACTCTGCTGAAGTGCCCAGCACCCTCTTTCCATTTGTGTTTAAATGGCAAAGCATTTGGCCAGCACATCTGAAAAGGAAGGTGTGAGAAGCAAAGCCCATGGCCACGTTCCCCTGCCAATTATGTGGCAAGACGTTCCTCACCCTGGAGAAGTTCACTATCCACAACTATTCCCACTCCAGGGAGCGGCCGTACAAGTGCTTGCAGCCTGACTGTGGCAAAGCCTTTGTTTCCAGATATAAATTGATGAGGTGAGAAGCTTTAGAAAAGGTGTGCATTTTTATGTGTACTGTTACGTGGCTTTTCCAGTTTTCAGACCACATGCAGCAAGAGCAAAGGGATGCCCGATGTGCATGGGTTTTAGGCTTTTAGGGATGCTTGAAATCTGTATCTCTAGTGATTACACTAGTTTTCTGTGACAGTTCTGTGCAGTGTCAGTTCATTCTTTCAACAAATACTTGTTGGGCACCTACAGTGTACCAGGTTTAAGAACAGAAAGATGAACTTTGACTAGGAAGACAGTCATGCAAACATAGGTAAAGTGCAACTTTGGTGGTTTAATAGAGCAATGCAAATTAAATTGTTCTTCACTGCTTGATGAAGGAGACCTGGGAAAGAGAGAAGACCTTCTCAGAAAAAGCCTTCAGCTCTGACATACACAATAAATAGGAGGTGGGCAGAGAGATTCTGGGCAGAGATATAAGCCTTGGCCTTAGAGCAGCCATGTGTGGCAAGTAGTATTGGAGGAGTGGCTGGGTGAGGCTGAACACGTAAGCAAGAAGGAAACGGCACCCAGTCCCCTGTCTGAAAGCTTTTATTCTACTGAGTCTCAGCAGTGAAGATTAGGATGTTAGAAATAGGACTGACAGTGGTTTGGAGAAGAGGCAAGGAGTTCGGCTTGAAATCAGCTGTAAGAGTCCAGGTGTGAAGCGTGGAGGGCTTGTCCAGGTTCTGAGAGGGAAGATGGAGAGGAGACACGGCCAAGTGTGAGCTTCAGAATGCCATTTCTCACCTGGGGTCGAGGAGCCGGCCTGACGAGCTGAGTTCTTTGGGGTATACAGATGCTGGGCGTGTGCGTCTAAGCGGACTTTCAAAGGCATCTGTGGTGCACCAGCGGCTAAAAAAATCAGTTTTAACATTTAAGTCCCTCCCCCCCTTTTTAAAGTACATTTAATCTGAGTTACTTGTTTGGTGCCTATTAGGTACTCCCTTCCATGAGGGAAGTGGTTTCTGCCTCCAAAGGATTGCTGTTAGAAAACATACACTGCTGGGCAGTCTGGCTGACAGCACTGCGTGCTGTGCTCAGAGCCCTGCGGGCAGGATCCCACTGAAGTACTAATGTACGCTTCTCTGGATTAGTTAAGGGAAAGGCGCCATTGGCCTGTAATCTTTGTGAAATGAACTTTAAAGCTTCAACTTTCAGACTAGTCGCATGTAAATGCATAGGTAAGAGTCAAAATTTAGTAAGCAAGGCTTTCTACCTGAGTGATGGCAACATAGACCACATTATGTTTCCATCTTGGAGTGCCCCTAGAGGAAGGAATAGAAGAAGAAATGCTCTGGCCCCTAACCATACCACTACTACAGATAATGAAATACAGATTGACTTTTAAAATAATCCTGTAAGTGCTTAGACATTTAAAGATGTAAAGGTCTTCTGTATGCGGGGCGCTCTGTCATAAACAGAAGTAAGGAGTCCCCACGGTGTGCACCAGTGTTTTGCAAAGGCTCCCTATTTTGCATTGGTTTTTTAGCATATGTGGTAAGCACCCTTTCCCGAACACTGAAAGCCACATTGGCTACAGTTAAGTGACAGTGTTCTCTAACTGTGGATGGACTGAAACACACATAGCAGATCGGCGTTTGGGAAGACACTGGGGCTAACAGGTTATTACCGGAGCAAGGAGAAGGAGTCGGGATTACTGTGGTAACACAGAAGGCATCTTCAGTATTTAGGAGATGGTAGTTCTGAGCAAGGGAAATGACCTGTTCTGTCACGAGTATGAAGTGAGGTAAAAGGGAAGCACTGTGTTTACTCACGCAAGAACTGCCTTTCTGCCACCACTCCCAATGTGTCTTACCTTTCTGGCCTGAAGCAGTGATATCTTAAAGGAATAGAAGAGTGGCAAGATGACAAGGCGCTTTAGGTTTTGCTTTTTAAAAGATGGTAGAAGGCCAGTAGGTTGTATGGTGTTCGAGGTGCTGGATCCTACATAGTCGACCACACGGGCTCGAGTCCAGACCTGGTGGCTTGGAAAACATGCCAGGCATGTGTGTGTGCCTACCCGAAATCCCAAAAGAACAGAGACAGGATTGAGTGTGGCCATCCCCTTGGCAGGTGACTTCTCACTTTCACTCTGTCTCTAGTGAGTGCACATGTCCTATATCAAAAATCTGAAAACAAAAAGAAATGATAGGACAGCATTCCATCCCACTTCCTATCAGATGCAGGGTAAGTTATATTCTATAATCAGATGTGAAAGAGAAAATGACTGATTCGCTGATCCAGAAAGGAGTGAGTCCATTCCAGTAAACAGGTAGAGACAGCAAAGGGAAGAAAGGATTTGGCCAGGCACACTGAGGCCTATAGTTAGAAGTCTTAAATGAACAGTCACATGTGAAGAATCTGAACCTCACATGGTGACACACTCCAGATGACACGCAGAGGGCGGCCATTGGTGCTGTAGGACTTACGACAGTGGTGGGTTCTTGAGGTGCTAGGTAATAAAAGAAATGGAGGGAAAGAAAGAAACCATTGAAGTAATTTCGGCTACAGGATCATAATATTCTAGACTGGGCCTGTTACACACGAGTAAATAAGGGATACAATAAAAGGAGAAGAACTGGATGCTAAAGAGTCAGAAAATGTCAGATGGATGGGAGCTGGTGGATTTGGAAAGCGCTCATGTGAAGCGATGACCTGTGCAGGTAGCACAGGCAGGAAAGTGCAGGACAGGGAAGAATGGAGAGGAAAGGCCAGTTCCAAAGAGTGCAGCCCTTTCCTAAAAAATAGTTCCCATGATTACCTTTAAGGTTTTCACCATAGGGCATGTGCTCTCGTTGAAGAGACAGTAAGAGAGAACATGAGAAATCGCTCCCCCATGGGGGATGACCATGTCCCTTCTCCATTCTCCTGGGATTTGGGGAATGTATGCAAGCCACTCAATCTGGGACTCAAACTAGTTGGCCACGTGGGAGTCCAGTGCCTTTAACCATCATGCCACCTGTTGGTTCCAATAATTACATTTTTAAGACGGGGTCTTGTCTTGCAGTCCTCATGCCTGAGCCTTCTGAGTTACTGGGATATGGGCACAGCACTGCCCATGGCTTCTAGGGTGAGGCAAGAACCAAATGTGTGCCTACCAAGGGGCCTCAGTCTGCTGAATAGCAGGGCTAACCAGCACACATTACTACAGCTGGGCCATGAGGATATGAAACTTAAACATTAAATACTTGTGTTTGTTTAGAAATCTGTACACAATGGGAAAATAAGTTCTCTTGAAGAATACTCTTGGGTCAGCCCTATAGCTCAGTGGTTAAGGGAGCCGAATCTCATACTGCTGACGTCTGTTTGAATCCCAACCCTGATAGCTTGACGACATACCAAGAAAGTGTGCATATTTGCCTACAATTTTGACAGGATGGAGAAATGAAGGGATTGCAATGTGACCATGCCTCTTTGGGGGTGCTTTCTTCCTCATTGTCTCTAGTGAGCACACATGCCCTCTGGCAAATTAAAAGAAAATTCTTTATAGAGATAGATATTGCATAATGCCTGTAGCGCATATATTATATATTTAATTTTGAAACTTTGCATTTGAAAAACATATGTAGTGAAAAATTTTTAAGTGAAAATTATACCAAAACCAAGTCTATATTAACATTTTTATATAATTTTGTTTCTCAACAGACACCATGTAGGAATTGTATTAGGAACAGTAACCTAAAATGGGTTTATGGGTTTCTGAGTAGAAGGAAAATTGGGTCACTTTTGGAAATTCAGGATTTGCAGAGTATAGAACACCCGTTTCACCCTTTCATCAGCTATTAAGACAACTCTGGGATGAGCAAGTTGTATAGTGGTTAAGGCGCTGGATTCCCACATGACCAACCATGGTTTGAGTTCTGAACTCGGTGACCTGAAAATCACAACGAATGAATAAAACCCTGTGTTGCAAAATGTTGCTCTGTTCCTAGGCACATGGCTACCCATTCACCTCAGAAATCTCACCAGTGTGCCCACTGCGAGAAGACGTTCAACCGGAAAGACCACCTGAAAAACCACCTCCAGACCCACGACCCCAACAAAATGGCCTTTGGGTGTGAGGAGTGTGGGAAGAAGTACAACACCATGCTGGGCTACAAGAGGCACCTGGCGCTCCATGCGGCCAGCAGTGGGGACCTCACCTGTGGGGTCTGTGCCCTGGAGCTGGGGAGCACTGAGGTGCTGCTGGACCACCTCAAAGCCCATGCGGAAGAAAAGCCCCCCAGCGGAACCAAGGAGAAGAAGCACCAATGTGACCACTGCGAAAGATGCTTCTACACCCGGAAGGATGTGCGGCGCCACCTGGTGGTCCACACAGGATGCAAGGACTTCCTGTGCCAGTTCTGTGCCCAGAGATTTGGGCGCAAGGACCACCTCACCCGGCATACCAAGAAGACACACTCCCAGGAGCTGATGAAAGAGAGTCTGCAGACCGGAGACCTTCTGAGCACCTTCCACACCATCTCGCCTTCATTTCAACTGAAGGCGGCCGCCTTGTCTCCCTTCCCGTTAGGGGCTTCTGCCCAGAATGGGCTTGCAAGCAGCTTGCCAGCTGAGGTACACAGCCTCACCCTCAGCCCCCCAGAACCAGCTGCCCAGCCAGTACAACCGCTGCCAGAGGCCCTCGCCTCCCTCCACCCTTCAGTGTCCCCTAGCTCTCCCCCTCCAACCCTCCAGAATCACAAGTACAACACCGGTTCTACCTCATACTCCCCACTTGCAAGCCTGCCCCTCAAAGCAGATACTAAAGGTTTTTGCAATATCAGTTTGTTCGAGGACTTGCCTCTGCAAGAGCCTCAGTCACCTCACAAGCTCAACCCAGGTTTTGAGCTGGCTAAGGGAAGTGCTGGTAAAGTAAACCTGCCCAAGGAGCTACCTGCAGATGCTGTGAACCTAACAATACCTGCCTCTCTGGACCTCTCCCCACTCTTGGGCTTTTGGCAGCTGCCCCCTCCTGCTACCCAAAATGCTTTTGGGAATAGCACTCTCACCCTGGGGCCTGGGGAACCTCTGCCCCACAGGTTAAGCTGTCTGGGGCAGCAGCAGCAAGAACCACCGCTAGCCATGAGCGCCATGGGCCTGGGCCAGCTCCCCCTGCCCCCCATCCCCCATGTTTTCTCAGCTGGCACAAGCTCTGCAATCCTGCCTCATTTCCATCATGCATTCAGATAACTGGTTTTTAAAGCATATTTTTCTTATTCCAGAGATGTTTTGAGCATTTTAAGTATCAGTTATAATACACGGAAATATGTAGAAAACAGGACTGGGACTATGGCTTATTCAGTGATGACTGGCTGAAGATAGAGAATTCTCGAACTGCATGTACCGTGCCAATCTGTCCTGAGTGTTCACGCTTTGTACCAAATGTAATGAACGTGTGTTCTTTAATCAAACTGCAACTATTGTCATAACCAACATCCAAAATGACGGCTGCTATATATATGTTTGTCATATTGCGTTTAATCATAAGCCATGATCATAATAATGTTAACTAAATAACTTTATGTGACACTGCCTAGTAAGGGAACTATGGAAAGGTTTGGATTTCTCCAAATTAGGAGAATTTTTAAAATAAGAGAATAACCTTTATATGGCATATTTTAACTAGGCTGTGTATTTCTTTTCAGGGATTTTTCTACCTTCAGGGTTGGATATAGTTTAGTTACTATTACAACATAGCCAACCTATAGTTTTACAGAGACAAACAATTTCTTGTGGAGCATTTTAAAAAGGCATTTTAAATGTAGTTTGAATATTTTCCACAAGATGCTGCAATGTGAGTTATCACTTCATTTATCTTAAAGACTAAACTGGTTGTCAGTTATATCTGACAGAAAAAAAAAAAAAAAAAGTCACTGTGTAACCAGGTTAAGTGGTAAAAATAATCCAGGCGTCAGTCAAAGGCATTTTGCTGACTTTAATATTGATTATATTTTTAACAGGAATTTAAAAAAATATTACTGGAATTTAAATATATATATATATAACAAAAATTTTCTTTGCTCTGTTTAGCTTAAACTACTATTCAAGCTGCTTAAGTTCCTAAGTATTATTTTTAATCACCAACAAATAAATGCATTTGTAATTCATCAATTTAAGTCATTATTAGCTTTTATTCAAAAGAGATTACATTTTGCAATGTAACTATAATCGATCTGTTCAGTTTGGTATCGAGTTTTAAAAATGTTAAGCCTAATAACCTTTTTTAAAACTCTTTTGTCTTTTGTTGTTAGAGGCTTTCTTTTAAACATATATCTTACATATAATAAACTTGACAAATCTTGCCATATGGTTTGAGTAGTTTTTCATACAGCTACACTGCATTAATGTGAACTTCACTAGGTGGAGAGAGAAATCGTTTCCAGCTCCCTAGTCAGCTCCCTCCTGCCCCCTCCTGGTCATTACATCCCCTGGAGAAACTATTCTGATCTCTGCATGGTGTCTAGTAGAAATTTTACTTTTTCTTTTGAGTGAATATTAATAATTATTCAAGGTACAAACTTCTATGTAAAATTCAGAGCACTAAGAACTTTTTTAAAAATACTGTATAAAATTCCAAGTCCTTTTATAGTAATACTGTGCAATCTATTTCTGATGTATAGATCAGAATATTTACCAGAGTTTAGCCTACCCTGTTCTACCATGATCCAGTATTACAATAGTACGTACCACTAATTGACAGCACAAATTAGGAATTCATTCCTTATTGGGATTTCTTCACGAAGTTACACCCCTGGAGCCTGACAGGCCTGTTACATTTCTAAATAAGGTGAAGGTGGGTAGAAAGAAGAGAAGCCTTGTTCCTTTACCCATCCAGGAAGCCTATGGGGCAAATCCAAGCAACCCTCGCTCACAGTCCTTGTCAATGGTGCTGATGACTAAAGGGCAAGCAGCTACCCAGGTTTGGGCTGTAGCAGGTCAGACTGACAGAGTGACAGTAAACTACAGGATCCAGCTGTCAGATTTTACCTACGGTTGAACCGGGCAGTGGAAATGAGACATGATACAGGTTACCTTATCAGTCAGTGTCCACCGCTCTGGGATGTCTAAGGCAGTTCCCATATGGCTTCCCTCTTGGAGGAAAGGCAGTCTCCCAGAGAAAGAGAGTAGTTCACCTCCCAAGATCCACTTGCAGAATTTTCATAAACACAGTTACTGGGCTCAGTACATCTTCAATCAGTTCCAGAATACATGCCTGATTTTCCTGAGTATAAAACAACATTTGACTCACAAAATACAGATACTAAAAAATTTCAGATATGTTTGCTGCACTACAAGTGGAGGTAATTTGAGATTCTCGTATTTAGAGAAAAATTGGCCTAATTTTCCTAATTAAATTCCTTGAGTTTAAGACAAGTTCTTGAATTTAAATGTACGAGTTATGTATAAATGACTTTATAAAAAGTTTACTGACCTCTCAACATACAAACTGATGGTAAAAATATATACATGAGGGGCCAGCAGGTGGTATGGTGGTTGAGGCTCAGGATTCTCACATGGCCAGTCGGTTCACATCCTGGATATGGTGACTGGATTACTCACTTTCTCTCTCTCTCTCAGTCTCTGTATCTCCCTGATGATCACGTGTGCCCTATGACAAATTAAAAATGATAACATTAATTTTAAAAAATACACATGACTTCTGATTTGGTGACAATAAATAAATGGCAGCAGGCCACTTACAACATTCTCCCTGTTTCCCCATCCCCTCAGTGTTTCCCAGAAAATACGGTCTGTGTACCTGCTATATGTGAAACAACCCTACATGGTATATAGACATTTAAAATAGGACTAGTTACTAGCTTAATATTAGATGCAAATATCACAGCTATCAGAACAAAGCTAGTTAAAAAATTGGGGGGGGGGGCACTGGTAAGTGGTGTGGTTAAGGGCACTGGACTCCCATGTGGCCAATTGTGATTGGAGTCCCAGACCTGGCGACTTGCTTTCTCTTTCCTTTTCTCTTTCTGTCCCTATCTAGTCAAATTAAAATAAATGAATAAATCACAAAATAAAGTTCAATAAAATAATTCTTAAAAAAAAAATTGGGGGGGGGCCTGCCTCATAGCATAAAGGTTAAGGGAGCTAGATCTCAAATGGCCTACCAGGGTCTGAATCCCAGTCCTGGCAGCTTGGCGAACACACCAGGCACCTGTGTTTACACGCCCCAAATCCTGACAGGTGGGAGGAAAGGAGGAAAATGTGGCATAACCATGCCCCACTGGGATGCTTTCTCTCTGGCAAGCACACACACCCTCTAGCAATTTAAGACAATTCTAGTAAGTAAATGATGTTAGTACCCCAGTGACAGTGTTACTATGAGCTTTTAATATCAAAGCAATGTTGTCTTTAAAAGCCTATTAAACATTGCATTTTTAAAGAAAACTTCAAGTGTATCATTAAATCAAGCATTTATCGCATAGGTTGATGTGTTTAATGATTTTGTTTGAAAAGTTTGGAGATAGTAAATAAGAAATTTGAAGCTAGCATTACTTGTCCTAAGAGATGCCTCTAGACGAATCATGGGTGCAAGAATGGACATCTACCCTGATCCTGGGTGCACAGCCATCCAGGCTGCTGAGTTTCAGGGAGCCAGTCTGAAAGCAGAAAGAGAAGATATTTACTTTAGAACTTCATTGTATTCACATCGAGAATGTTAAATAATATAGGCCTTTTTAGATTTTCAATTGCTTTACCAACAACTCCCCAACTCTGGAAACCGTCTTTTTGCGGGGGAATGTGTTTAGAGAGAGGGATAAAGCAGTCGCCTTTCAGGTCAAAAGTGAGGAGTCATTTCCCTTTTCTAATAAGCCAAGAATCCAAAACTGAACATCCTTTTCAAAATACAGGTTTAGCAAAAGAGCAAGTTCCAAAGACATAAGTTTTGTTAACCCAGCTCGGGGTTTTCCCAGGTTTCTCTCTGATTTCCCTGCTAGGATCCAGACTCTTTAAGGCGCATTAACTGTACCTTGTATATCAGCCACACAGCACCAGGATCAGAGCCCCCCCACCCCTTACCTGGACAATGTAATTTAGTCTTTTTTAGAAGATTTACTAAGTCCTTGTTTGAGTTTTGCTCCAGAGGCAGGGTCCATAGCTGATCCTTTATAAACATATAAAGATTTGTTATTATGTCAAAGCGGAACATCGCCAAGAAGAAACAGGACTGATTGTGAAATCCCCACACTGAATTCCAATGTGTCTAGTCGTCTTTGGTGTTTGTTCTTGTTGGTAGTAGCTGTGGACAAATACCCGCTTTTTGGCCTGGGCCGAATAATAAGGAAAACAGGGACCAGCTCGGGTGTCTTCCGCTCTTTC